AAATCATCACGTCAAAGGGATACCTGCACTCCCATGTTTATTGCAGCTCTGTTTACAATAGCCAAGATATGGAACCAACTGAAATGTCCATTAATAGATGAGTGGATAAGGAAACTGTGGTATATATACACTATGGAATACTACTCTGCCATAAAAAAGAATGAAATACTCCCATTTGCAACAACATGGATGAACCTGGAGAAACTTACGTTGAGTGAAACAGGCAAAGCACAGAGGGATAAATACCACATATGTTCACTCATTTGTGGGAGCTAAGAGAAAAAGGAACGCAGGAAAGAAAGACCACAGTAGTCCCATGATCCGACAGAGGGAGGGAACATCCCCAGGGCTACAAATTGAAGTTGAGGGGAGAGGGGGAGGGGGAGGGAGGTTGGGGGATAATTGGAGGGGGACAAAGGGTACAAAAGCAATTTCCGGTAATGGGTATGTCCCCAATATTAGTCTGGCCCCCACATCATGGGCAGGAGGGGGGACAATCAGCTTTGTATCTCATGAACATTTGAAATAAATAAATTAATTAATTTTTTAAAAAAGATTTATGTTTCCTCTTTAGAGGACATAGTATTGAATACTGAAATGGCAAAAAAAAAAAAAATGCAGCAATAGAATATCTATATGAGAATTGAAAGGCCTGAATAATCTACCAAATTGGTAATTGACCTCTGAGCAATAAAAAATTGGCTGTGATTTCATGCATTACCATTGAGCACTGTTTAGATTTAACTTTCGTTCACTCCTGATTGAATTAAAATTTGAGGTGACATGTTTTACATCTCATTTCTAAACTCTCAACCATTCAATCATCTCTCATTGTGACCTCAGGAGATTCAGATGTGATAAAAGAATAATGAGAAGTTAAAAATCAGGGTTAGAAAAAAATATGTATTTTAAATCTGCAATCCTTTAAATGGGAGAAAAGCAATTATAAGAGTTTAAAGAATTAATAGAAAATGATGTTTTATACTAAAGAAAATTTAAGATCTTGAGTCCTGCTCACCCCATCTCTATACAAATAGAGATCAATACGCTCAGAAACATAAGCTATTAAAGATTTACTTTCAGCAACTGTTTGTGATATTCAAGGCACTGTTTAGTATTCTGATTCAGAAAATACATCTAATTAAGCATAGGAAATTATATTTTTAACTTGGGAGTGGTCAGTTTCTTTTTAATCTCTAGATCTTTTGTATCTTACATTTTGAAATAAGAATAAATGATAGACTTGGGTTTAAAAATAACTCTTTGGTTTCTAGCTCGTTACCTAAGAAGTAAAAGGTTCTTTTCATTAAAAAGATATATAATTCTATATTAAAAAATTAATAGATTTTTGTCAGACTGTATTTGACCAGTTTCCCATCTCCTGTATAATCTCAGGTCTAACAGTAAGAGATGTAATGAAAAAGGGTTTTGAAGTGAGAACAGAGTATGGGAATCATCCTAGGCAATGAAGACAATGCTTAAGTAGAGAACTTTGAAACTGAGCATGAGAAATTTGAACTTGAAGCTCAGTTTGGAGTGTTAAGGAAAGTGTTTGTGTCAAGGATATCTTTTACTTTACAGAATGTAGATAGATGATTGTTCCTTTATGTAAAGAGAATGGGAGGTGAAGAGGAGAGATGAACTATAGCAGAGTTTATTACAGATCTTTTTTCGTGCCTTGAAATGAACTTTACCTCTTTTCATTTCAAGCATCATTAGTAAAAAACAAGAACGAAAAAAACTCAAAAAACCCAAACATTTCAAAGCAAGAACATAGCATTTATGTGAAAAGACCAAGGAGCCAGGATGGGCAAAGGAGAGGTCTTGACTTTAAATAAAAGAGTTACAGAGAAGATCATAGAAATTATGAATTTATGTAAGGACATGATTCCATTCGACCCCTGTTTCTGTCAGTGAAACTGCTCCTCAGCTTGATATGGAATTTTTTAAAATCACAGAATTTTAAAACAAGGAAGGACTTTAAAGATCATTTATGTGTCTCCCTCATTTTTACATTTCTAACAGGTTATTCTTTGTAATCCTATAAATGTCTTATTTATCTTTGGATCCTTAGTACCTGACACAGAACCTATAAGGTATTCTATAAATATTTGTTAAATTAGCTTAAAGAATTTAATCTTCATTAATACTAGTAAGTCAAAATACCATGAATAAGGTCTGGTAGTTCTTAAATTAATCTTAGCAATTAAATGCCACCAGTGATTTTTTTTTTCCTTTGACCTTTTTTCTCTGACCAGATTTGCATCTGCTGGTGATGATGGACTTGTAGTTGTGTGGAATGCTCAGGTGTGTATTGATTATATGTGGATTGTGTAATAAATACTATTTGGGGATATATTTGCATATCAATATCATTATTTGAGACTAGTTAATATTTGAAAAGGCTACATAGGATAAATCCATTTAAAATAGGGACCAATATTTCATAATAAAGAGGTACAGGTTTTTTTGTTAAGATTTTTTTCTGAGAAAAATGTCAAACTATGAAAATGAAAATTTTTATTTTATTGAACAAGATTTAGATTATCAGCAACTGTGTACTGACTTCCAAAATGAATAAAATATTGTTTTTTTTGGTCAGAGGCACAATTTTTCTTTCAGTGTTGTATGATAACATAACATTCTTCTCATGTTTGACTTTAATAGTCATATAACAAAAGGCCTGTTTTTACAAAAAATACTTAAGGCTTCACCGAGTTTCTTCAGGTCTCTCCTCCTGATCCTTTGCTATTCAGCTTAATTGCTTTTGAAACATTTATCTTCCTCTCATCCTTATTTTTTTTTTTTTTTTGCTATTCAGCTTAATTGCTTTTGAAACATTTATCTTCCTCTCATCCTTATTTTTTTTTTTAAAATTTATTTATTTATTTATTTATTTGACCCACGTATTATTTAGAGTTGTTTTGTTAAATCCCACTCTATTTCCAGATCTATTTTTATGGGTTTCTTCTCCCAACACTGAATATTGGACTCCACTCTCTTCTTGCTTGCATGCTTTCTGAGAAGATGATTGGATGTAATTCTTCTGTTACTCTCTAGGTAAGATTTTTTCCCCTTTTTGGCTTGTTTCAGATTTTTCTTTATTTTTGATTTTCTATATTTTGAAAATTATATTCCTAGGTATAGATTTTTGGCATTTATCGTGTTTGGTGTTGTCTTTCATCCCTGGATCTTTTGTTTAGTGTCTGACATTAATTTGTGGAAGATCTCAGACGTTATTGTTTCAAGTATATTTTTTTCTCCCCTTCTTCTGTTATTCTCACTACTATATGTTATATCTTTCATAGTTGTTCCATAGTCTTTGAATATTATGTTGTGTTCTTTTCATCTTTTTTTTTTTGCCTGTTTGTTTTTTATTTTTTGAGGGGTTTTGTTGTTGTTGTTTGTTTTTGGCTTTTCAGTTTTTGAAGTTTCTCTTGACATGTCTTCAAGNGAGCGCCGCCACGCTTCCCAAGCGGCGCACTATCCAGTGCGCCACCGGGCCGGCCCCCTCTCATCCTTATTTTGGGTTATTATCTGGTCTGACTCTGCCAGATCCTCATTTTTGGTGGCTTTGTCTGTGATTAAAGCAGTTCTTTAACATTACTTTCACATTTATGAAGTCCTGCAACCTTGGAAACATTTGTATTTTACATTATATTTACATTGTATTTTTGTATGTTTACTACTTGGGAAATCAGTGAGAGACTGATAGACGAAGACATTGGATGGATGGGTTGGTGTTCAATAGAGATGGAGTGGAGACTAACTTTATAAGTGGTTGAGAAGTTAGTGTATATATGTATGTATTTGTTGTTATGCTGACTTATTTCATTCTACAACCTTATAGCTGTAGAGACTTAGATAATAGATACTTGGATAACAAAGATTCCATATTTTTTTCCTACAGATTGAGATACTGATGTTTTTATGCTTAATTTACACAATTATATTGTTAAAACCATAGGAAAGAATACTTCTTTAAATTTTCTATAAAAATGTGGAAAATTAGCATTTTCTAATAGAATATAATCAAAATTGTTTGTGGTTATTCTTTTGGCACTTGTTTAGATTCTGTTTGATTGCTAAAGTTAAATTATAAGTCCTGAATAAGTAATTTTAAATGGAATATATGTGTACTTTGTACATGGTGATTTTTCTTAATGTTGTCTTTTAAGATTATCAAAGTTGTGAAAGATGAGCCTATTAACCATTTTTATTGGTTTTTCAGACAGGAGAAAAACTTTTGGAACTCAGTGGACACACTCAAAAGATAACAGCTATTATTACATTTCCTTCCTTGGAATCTTGTGAAGAGAAAAATCAACTCATCTTGACAGCTTCTGCTGATAGAACAGTTATTATATCCTTAAATCTGAAAGAAAACGAAATAGCTACAGTGACCCAAGGGGCCACTACATACATTATTAGTCTTTATCCTCTAGGGGCTTGTCTGTACACTCCTGTTTTAGCAAAAATGATTTTGTTCTGGTCTTCATAAGACACTTCTTTAAGGTATTAGGCATTTGAAAGGGATTAGACTGGAAATAGCAGGTTAAGGCTTGTCATTGATGAAAACCCCCTGACTATATCTGTTCTTTCCAGAGTTCCTGTTATATCAAGTTGTATAAAATGGAGGAAATAGAAGAATGTGGGCTTAAAAATATTTATTTTATTATCTCAATTTGCTTTTCAATTTAGGAGAAACAAAGATGAGTTGGACTGGAGAATAATTCACATTTTTTACTTCTCACTGTATAGCAAAAGAAGCTTAATGGCCCCAATCCTTAAGAACCTTTTGAGAGTCTGAGTCTGCCAGGAAAGTGAATTACCAGTCTGCTAGATGTGTAATATTAATACTCAGTATTTAAAAACAATTTTAAAAAAGTAAAATTACTTTTTCTTTTCCCATAATTTTAGGTAAAAAGTTAAGAGGTAACAAGTAATAAAGTTTTATAAAGTGCTTATGTGTGCCAGGCGTTGTTCGAAGTGTTTTACATAAATTAACCCATTTAATCCTTAAAGTAGTCTTTGAGATAGGTATTTTAAATTATTCCCATTTACAGATGAACAAATAGAGGCACAGAGAAGTTAAGTAGCTTCCCCAAGACACACAGCCAAGGTAGGGCAGAACTGGCAAGCAGTCTGACTGCAAAGTTGGGGCTCTGAACTACTGTATAATACTGCCTTCATAAAATATTTTCTGTAAACAATTCAGTCCTTTAATATTTATATGAGGTATTGAATTTGTGCAGACTGTAGTGAAATATTGTGGATAACTGTAACTTTTATATTACTATTTATTTTTTAAAAAAGATCTCACATCAGCTTTAAAAAGTCTATGCTTATCTGAAAGTTCTGTTTAAACAATTTCAAGTATTAGTGAAGTTTCAGCATATGCTTGAAAGAGTAGGTGTTTCTTAGGAGTCAGGAGTCTATAGAATGAAGACATGCTTTATAACACACTTTAAATGAGTTCATCAGCTGAAGTGGTTTCTAGACAGATTGCCAATATGTGAAAAAATTTAAGAAAAAATTTAAGTAGGGATAAACTACTTATATATATTTTTATGTGTGATTATAGTATAACATAAACAAAGGCATAAAATTCACTCAGATATTTAGGTCAGAGTGGCTTTATTACTACTGCTCCATTGAGGCAAATATTTTATGGAATAAAGTTCTTTTGTTTTTTTCCTTTTCAGTATGAATATATTCTCTGCAAAAATAGAATTTAAATATTTTTTCTTTATTCCTAAGACACTATAATA